CAAGCTTCTACTCCAACTCCGACTTGTATCTTCGCTCACCTGGACATCGCGCTAGCGAAGACATCTGGCACGCACGAATGGGACATCCAAGCAATACGGTGTTAAACAACACAATCAGAGCAGGCGTTCTCGACAAAGATTCACTGCTTCTAACCGATGGAAGCGAACTTCGACGAGCTCGTGGAACGTGCTTTACCTGCCCCGAAGCAGACTTACCGCATCGACCATTTACTTCTCACCACAACCCCAGCGCACCAGCTTACGCACCACTTGAGAAAGTGTACAGCGACATCCTATACAATCGCGAACCTGGACAAGGAGCATACAGCTACACCATCACGTTCATCGATGCCGCTACACATTACGTTTGGCACCTTAATCTTCCGAGCAAGGACATGGCTTTCGAAGCCTTCATCGCTTGGCTCCCAGTAGCAGAACGAGAATCAGGCGTCAAACTCAAAAGCTTCCAGTCAGACGGAGGAGGAGAATACACCTCACAGAGGTTCAAGCAGTTCTTGGCAGAAAGAGGAATCAAGAGGCTCATCTCCCTTCCTTACGCCCATCAACAGCAAGGCGTAGCGGAACGGATGAATCGAACTCTCCTGAATACCATGCGCAAATTACTGCGTGGCATGTGACTGCCCAATCACCAGTGGCCTGAGGCGATGGACCACGCTGTCATGCTGCACAACTTGCTTTCGTCGTCGTCACTACCGAACAACGCATCACCGCACCTGCTGTGGACAGGAAAACAGGGCAGCACAAAAATGTTAAGAGTTTTCGGCTGCATGGTACAGTACCGACCCCCATCTGCACGAGCCGGCCGATTTTCCCAACGCGCACAGTGGGGACTACACCTGGGCATCGAAAGAAATTACAACGCGTGGAATATTTTCGACGTCCACTCCAAAGAAACAGTAGCAGCACGTGATGTCATTTTCTACGAACGACTCACCCTTCCGACATACCTTGCCAACCTGGCAGAAGACCGGGATCCCACAGGTGGCTTCCGTGGTGATCGAGCCTTCGCCTCGGCAGCAGACGAAGCTGACTGGGACGAGCAGAACGTGGATAACGCCTCGGAAGAAGCAGGACCACTCCCATACTGCTCCGTGCCTATCCCGATGGACGACGAAAACCCTCGCGAAAGCGTCAACGCCGAAACTTATTTCGACCTCGCCGACACCGGTTACGTTACACCTGCAGAAGTCAACACCAACGAAGCAGAACGCATAGGGCCCAATTTCATACCTGACCCAGAAACAGGTGACGAAGCAGCTTATCCCGCGGACACAACACTCCCCCGCTACACACAGAGTGGCCTTCAGATACTCGGCCTAGTCACCGCGGTCCACGGCACCGAAACTCCTAAGGAGCCTGCCACAATTCAGCAGGCTCTGGGGGGGGAACATAGGGAAAAATGGCGTGAAGCCATGGACAAGGAACTGAAAGCGCTGAAGGAGCGCAACACCTGGAAAGTTGTTCCTATCGGCGTGGCACGAAACAAGACAATACTCACCGGGAAGTGGGTCTTCCGTGTGAAGACGAAAGCAGATGGCACCATTGACAAGTTCAAGGCACGATGGGTCGTACGCGGCTTCGACCAAGAGCACGGACGCGATTTCACCGAGACATTCGCCCCGGTCAGTCGACACACCTCACTACGGATTCTTCTCGCGATCGCCGCTATGAAGAAAAAGAAACTGCGGCAAATCGACGTCGCCAACGCATTCCTTTACGCACCTGTTGACGCCGAAATCTACGTCGAACTCCCACACGGCTCCCACGGAGAGCCGAACCAAGTCTGTCAGCTGCAAAAATCCCTGTACGGGATCAAACAGGCCCCGAGACTGTGGCAGCAGTACTTACACGCTCGACTCACTCGGATTGGATTCCAGCAGCTACCGCACGACCAAGGCATGTACCGGCTTACAAAAGGCGACGACTACATTCTATTGATCGTCTACGTAGACGATCTACTCTACATCGGATCGACCGACAACGTTACTACCTGGTTCGAAGGGGAGTTACAGAGAGATCTCACACTCACAGTCTCATCTACCGTCACGCAATATCTCGGCCTTAATATCCAGGAAGGGGAAAGCACGATCCACCTCAACGCTGCAAAGTATGCCGACACCATAGCCAAACGTTTCTCACTTACACCTACCACCATCTCTACGCCATATCGCTACACGGCAGGAAACAACAAGGCAGAATCTGCTCCACTGAAGCCCGCCGGCATACGCGACTACCAGAGAAAGCTGGGATGCCTTCACTTTGCGGCCGTTACCTGCCGTCCGGACCTATCATACTCCGCAAGTCAACTCGCCACCTACCTCAAAAGGCATGAAGCTGAACACATGGCGGAACTAGACCGCGCTCTTCACTACCTCGTTAGTACCCCAACGATCGGCCTGACTTACTACAAGAACAAAACTACAACGCCCAAGTTAATCGGCTACGTCGACGCCGACCACGCCGGAGATCCTGACAACAGGCGCTCGCGCACAGGCTACATCTACCGCCTCGAGCCTATCGGACCTATTTCATGGCAGTCGAGCAAACAGGAATTAATCGCCCTCTCCTCAGCTGAAGCTGAATATATCGCACTCTGCTCAGCCACCAAGGAAGGACTGTACCTTCGCGAACTTCTGGAGGAAGCGAAGCTGGCCCAGTTACCCAGCTTCTCCCTATTCTGCGACAACCAGTCGGCAATTCGCATAGCCAACAAAAATGGATTCGCGAACAGGACGAAGCATATCGCCCTGCGATATTTCTTCGTAAAGGACGAGATCGAGAAGGGGAGACTTGAGCTGTCTTACTGCCCCACATCCGAGATGGCAGCTGATTACTTGACCAAGAAGCTCGGAAAGTCGAAGTTCGAATATTGCATGCTGCTGACTAGACAGAGCCACGTCACCAGCAGCGACACTCGAGAAGCGAAGGGGAGTGTTGGAAACAACTGATTTAAGCGCCTCTGTCGTGTCAAAACACCAAGACAGAAGCGAAGCAGATCATATCGAACTATCAGCGAGTCAACCCTCGGAGGTTGAAACAACTGTTGGAGGTTACGCGAAAGTCAAAGGTCAGCGACCTTTGACCTGACAAATGCAGCGCGACAGCAAGGACAAACAACTGTCTCGATACTGAGCAGTTGCCCGAGTCGACACTGTATCGAACCGCAACAGCAACAGTAAAACAGTTATCAACCGTATCTCTTCATATTTCTTGTATTCTTATAAAAAGCTTGTATTTCTTTGTTATTAATCAATCAACTTTGCCCTCACACACTAGCGCAAGGTGGTTCACAATCCTTTTATTAAACGCTTCCGCTATTACATTTTCTTACGCTTGAATTCTGTCCTGCAAAGATCCTAAGGGGCTTTTTCAGCCCAACAACCATCACCCTGGCTCACTTGCTTGACAGATTTTGTGTGATGAGGTTATAACTACTAAAGATAGTTTGATGACAAGTTGAAAGCCTGTTTGTGCGCGGCTGGCAGCAGCAGCAAGGGGCTGCAGCGGATGTGCAAAGCAGTGGGGAGGCACATGTGGCTGCATGCAGTGGAGCGGAGCTGCTGCAAGCAAGTGGGGCCGAGGGTGGGGGGGTCAATGTGAGGCAAGGGAGTGTGGCGGATGGGAGGGTGGGCACTGGTGGTACATCAGTGAAACGCACGCCCAGGCAACAACATTGGAGCGGGTGCTGCGCTGTGAAGCCTACCTGCTCTTCTACCACAGCATTGGGAGCTGAGCTGAAGCCTAGATCCCATGACTGGTGTTATGCTGATCTTTGCAGGGCCAGGTTCTAGTTTTTCGCCTAAGGCTGCACTAGCCCTGGCATTGGATTGCAAGTTGTGGGAACACTGCTGGATAGGGTAGGCAAAAGGGAGCACGAGGGTTGTAGGAGAGCAGTTGATAAGAACGGCATTTGTTAGCTTGTAGTGATGATCCAAATCTTGTACACAACATTGATGCTACGTGTAGATGCTGAGTATATTTCTGCCCATGGCGCATCTAAAAACGGGGTTTCGCCGCCACGATTTTCACCTTGCGCAGGAGAGGTTCTGCTTGTCCGAACAGTGGTGTGCTGTACTGACAGCCTGACCCCATCGAGCCAATCGGCTCTCGAGATAGGTGGAGTGGCGTAGCGAGACTGTAGGAAAGAAAGGACCCTCGAGCTTGCCGTTCGGCTTGACTTGTGGTGAACGAAACGGGCTTGGCGTCGCTTGGCGACGTTCAGTCACCACAAATCCCCATGCGACGCTATATGCTCCGTGAGTCCCTCCCACCCCAAGTCCAACACTTTGGTCCCGCAAGTTCTGTCCTCAATCCGAACCCTGGAATCACCCCATGCCTGTGGTCTCATGACCCTCCTGAATGCTCACCATCACCCTGGCTCACTTGAGATCCATGGCTGCACACTAACATCCATTCTTACACTTTTCTTCCGAAGCCTCCACTTCGCTGGATTGCCTCGCGTGTCCATCATGGCTGAGGGTCATACGACGGGGTCGAGTGGTAAGAGAGGAGCCAGCCCGTTGGGTAATTCTCAGTCTTCGCTGAACGCCGAGTCGCGGCTGGTTGTGGTAGAGGCGACGGAGGCTGCACGCGATGAATGTTCGAACGGTAGCGTTGCAGAATTCAACGACTGTGAAACTAGGGAAGCGGAGAGCCGTCGCGGTGATGAAGGATCATCGTCTGCGCCGTCGGATGTTAAGGCTCGCTCGTCGCGGAGTTCGGGAAGAGCTGCGAGCGAATGCGAGACTGCGCCGCGCGGAAGCTGGATTATTCCCACATGGATGAGCAGCAAGCGGCTGTCGGCCGTCGCAGCGTCCATCCGCAAATATTTATCCGTCGATCGATGGCACGAGGTCGAACGGTCATGGATTGACTGGGCCTTCAGCGTGAAGCTTCCTCCGTGGTTCCGCCGCCACGTCACATTCTACCGTCTCCACGTCGCCTGCTTTGTCGTGCTCATCCTCATCGGCACGATCATCATGTACCTCATTCCGGGCGGCCCGGCCGGCAAGATGAGCTTCATCGACACGCTGTACAACGTGACTTCAGCCACATGCCTGACGGGAATGATCAGCGTTGACGTTAACATGTTTTCTGACGGAGGTAACGTTTTCCGTTTGCTGCTGATGATAATCGGCAGTCAGATCACGACGTCGCTCGTTCCCGTCTACGTCCGTCGCTTCTTCTTCCACCGCTACCTCTACCGCGAGGGGTACGTCACGCGCGGCGGCCGGCGGAGCGAACCCGTGGTAACAGTGCGCAGCGGTGAGGCAGGCGCGGTGGATGGGATGATCGGGGAAGGCGAGGTTAGCGGGGAGGGCCTCGGGGTGTTGGAGGAGGAGCATCGCGTGTCCGAGGACGACAAGGCCGCTGACGCTCGCGATAATGCTCCATTGGGCAGTAAGGCCGAGGGGTCAGGTGCGGTGGCGGCGGGTAGTGGTAAGGTGACCCACGTTCAGAGCGACCCGGCTAGGGTGTCTCCGCTTGGGTCTAACAGCGCGAGCAGAGGGAGGGACGGAGCTCTCGTGATTCCCGTTAATGATGCTCCAGCGGGGTCCGACGTGGACGCCACGCGGCAAGATTCCAGCCAGAATGGCCCGAGATCTGCTCGCGCTGACGTGGACGCGCTGCGGCTGGACAGCAGTCAGCACGGGCCGCGATCGACGCGGTGGGACGCGCGCATGTGGGACAGTCCGCGCAACGCGCAGGGGCGGGCGGGGCTGACCCCGCGGAGGGCGTTCGGGCTGGAGGACGCTTTGGAGCGCACGGTGGGGCCGCTGTCGGGGCGGTACCAGGCGGGCGAGGAGAACGCGTGGCACACGTGGTCGGGGGACGCGGCGCGCGCGGAGGGGCAGCGGCTGAAGCTGGCGCTGGAGATCATGCGCGTGCAGCAGCAGCAGCGCGACAGCGAGCAGCGCCCGGGGCTGTTCCTCCAGCGCACCCTCTCCTCCAGCACCTGGCGCACCGACGATGTTGATGGCGCTAGCGCTGGCGCTGACGCTGAACTGCTGCCCATTGGCCCAGGCGAACGAAGATTCCTGGAACTGAGGTAGGCAGGGAAGGGATGGGGAAGTAGAAATGTGGGAGAGAGAGGTTGCTGGGGAAGTTGGTAGCTGATACGAGGAGTTTTGTAACGAAAATGTGGCTCTTGTGCACTGCACTGCACTGCACTGCACTGCACTGCACTGATCAGGTCCCCTACCCTGCATCATCCAATCCTGCTTGATCAGGTCCCCTACCCCCTCCCAACCCCACCCCCAGTCCGACTCCACAACCCGCCAACCCATTCGCACACCCCACAAGTCATGCGTCCACCGCGCCCACCTCCCGCATCTCTTGCCCGTGTGTGCGTGCACGTGGCGGTGGTGCAGGGCGCTGGAGTTGCTGAGCTGGCTGGTGCCCGTGTACTTTGTGTCAGTGCAGGCGGTGGCCGTGGTGCTCATGCTCGTGCTCGTGCACGTGTCACCGTCCGTCAGGCAGGTCGTGGACAGCAACGGCGTCAGCCCCATCTTCTTCTCCGTCTTCCAGGTGCCCTCCCTGCTTCCCTCCCTCCCGTGCCCTCTCTGCCATCCCCCATCCCATGCCCTCCGTGCCACTCCTCATGCCCTCCCTGCCACTCCTCATGCCCTCCCTGCCACTCCTCATGCCCTCCCTGCCGCTCCTCATGCTCGCCCTGCTTCGCTCTCTTGTGTGCCCTTTTCTTTCCCCCCCTTCCTCGTGTGCCCTCTCTGCCACACCGCATGCCCTGTGCCGCTCGTGTGTGCCGCATGTGATTCTTGCCGCCAGCATGCAGCTTCTTGTACACGCCATCATCACTGCCCGAATAACTTCTTCCTGCTCCTCCCCTCCCTACACCCATCTTCCCTGCTCGTCCCTGTCCTCACCGCGCATGGCAGGTGGTGTCATCGTTCAGCAACACGGGGCTGGTGCTGCTCAACAGCAACCTCATGGACTTCAACAGCAACGTGCCGCTGCTGCTGGGGCTCTCTGCGCTCATGCTTCTCGGCAACACCCTCTTCGCCCCCACACTGCGCGGCCTGCTGCTGCTGCTGCACCTCGCCTCCAAGGGCGAGCAGAAGGTGCCTGCTCCTGCCGCCCACCGCACTCCTCGTCTCTTGTTCCCTCGCACCCACCGTGTGTGTCACACGTCACACTCCTGCTGCCACGACACGAGTCTGTCTCACCACGGGCGCCACTTGCAGCGCCAGAACCACCAGCTGCACCCTGCCTTGCTACGTCACATCTCTGCCCCTCTCTGTCCCTCTTGGACCCTTTCTCCCTGTTTCCTGGTCTTCTCTGAACGCCCCCCTCCCCTGCGAGCACCAGGTGGTGTACGAGTATCTGCTGGAGCATCCGCGCAAGTGCTACACGCACCTGTTCCCGCGCTCGTCCACGCTGTGGCTCGTGGCAACTGTGGTGGCGTTCAACAGCATCGAGTTCATCTTCTTCTGCGTCTTCGACTGGAACTCCACTGCCCTCGATGGCCTCTCCAGTGCGTGCACCAAGCAGGGGGGACGGGGAGGGAAGGGGTCGGTTGTGCTGTAGGTTTCTTTGTGTGTTTGTTTGCTTGTTTGTTTTTTGTTTTTGCTTTTTGTTTTTGTGAATACAGCAGCCGAATCCATCGGCCTGAGTGTGTTGGGCTGGACCTCCAGCTCGCTCAATGGACTGTCCTGTGTGGCATGGCAAGCACGTGGGATGGGGGGTCATGGGCTGTCTTGTGCTGTCGGGTGATCTCACGAATTCCCAGGGGGGTTCACATGCTGTATATACAATTGGGGATGGGGAATTCTGAATAGAATTCTCCCTGCACCCTCCGCTTTGTCACTTCCACGACGGCACCATCCTGACAGTACATCACCCCCCCTCGCCTCCCCCTCTCTCCCCGTCCCACCCTTGTGGCTGCGGCGTGCGTGCGTGTGTGTGTGTGTGTGTGTGTGTGTGTGTGTGTGTGGGGACGAGCAGGCAGCACGAAGGTGTTGGTGGGGTACTTCCAGTCCATCTGCACGCGCACCACGGGCTACAATGTCGTCGTCCTCGCCCTGCTCTCGCCGCCCATGCTTGTTCTCTACATCGCCATGATGTGAGTGCGCCCATGCTGTATAAGGCTTATGCCTCTTGCTCACTGAATGCCACATGGGCCGCCCAATGTGCCTCGAACATTCCCCCGCCTGCCAGGGTGCGGCACCTGACATGCATTACCGCAAGTACTGCTCGCCACGCCCTCCTCCATGCGTTCTCCCCTTCCCCCCTCCCCCTCTCCGCCCTCAGGAACGTGGCAGTGTATCCGGTGTACCTGGCGCGGCAGACATCGCGGGAGCAGCGCGAGGTGTACGACGACGAGGACATAGGCGTGTTCTACGAGGACCTGCAGGAGGGCGTGCTGGACCCGGGCGTGCTCACCCAGGGCAAGAAGCTCTTCCTGCATGACACCGCCCTCATCTTCTTCGCCATCTTCCTCGTCTGCATCATGGAGAGCTCCATGATCACCTCCGACCCCACCAACTTCTCCATCTTCAACATCATCTTTGAGATCATGAGGCATGCCCCCTGTCCCCTGCCCCCTGTGCCTCCCGCCCCATGCCCCATGCTTGCTTACCATGTGGTTGTGGCATGGGCCATGGGCCATGTGGCATGCCACGCTGGCAGCAGAGCCAAGCACACCTTTTCCTACCTGCAGTCCTCCCTCTCCCCCCATTCTTCCTCCCTCTCCCCTCATTCCCGCTCCCTCTCCCCCCATTCCTCCTCCCTCTTTGAATGTCTGTGTGCTGTGCTTCTTCATGTGGCTGTGGCTGTCATCTGAGTGCCCTGTACATGCGTGCATGCTCACACATGCCTGTCACTGCAGTGGCTATGGCAACGTGGGCTTCTCTCTCGGGTACACCTGTCCAGAAGACGCCCCCCCTGGCTGTGTCTCCCCGCCCTACAGCTTCTCAGGTCAGCCACCCTCTTGCTCTCCGCCTCACCCCATTGCTGCTGTTCCCACTGCAACTTCTGCCAGGCTTGTTTTTCCTCTCTTAATCCCCTCCTCCCTCTCGCCTCACTTACCCGCCTACTCCTCTCCTCTTACCCCCTTTTTCCCCTTATGGGTGGGGGCAGGGGTGTGGCGCACGGAGGCGAAGGTGGTGATGGTGCTGGTGATGCTGCTGGCGAGGCACCGCGGGCTGCCAGACAACATCGATGCCGCCATTGTCATCCCCGACCAGAAGCAGTTCCAGTCCGCTGCCAAGACACATGATGCAGCCACAGCCGCAGGCACAGGCACAGGTGGGGGAGAGGTTGGGGGGGGAGGGGGGTGAAGGGGAGCAAGGGTGGAGGTAGAGAGTGAAAGAGTGTGGGTGATGGCAGCCAAAATGGCAGTGTCCCTCATTCGCATGGCTTCTCCTTTATACATGTTGATGGGGCTTGTGCGCATGTGTGCCCCAGTTTTCATGCAATGAGTAATGCATTGTGTCAAGCAATGAGGATGTGTAATGCATTAGGTCAAGAAATGTGTCATGCAATGTAAGCAATGTGTCGTGCGGTGTGCCCTTTCTATTCGTGGCACAGCAGAGCATGACGAGGTGGAGAGCATTGCGTCATCAAGGAGAGGCGGCAAGGGCCCTGTGATTCCACACAAGGCCATGATTCGAGCCAACAGCAGCAGCCAGATACTGCTGGGAAGCAGCGGCCGCATGGCCAGGTACGTTAACACTTGTTTTTGTGCATCTTCTGGCTTTGTGCAGTGTGCGATGTCCTTTTCTGGTTGCTGATGGACTCGTTCCCTTGTGTTGCAGCATGGATACATTTGATCGTTCAATGTCCACGATGAGGTCGCCTTGACATCACTGTTGTGATTCAAATCAGGTTAACCGGAACAAGCTATGGGCATGTGCTCGTCTCTCTAGGTGATGCTTTTATCAATATTAGTCTGTAGCAATATAGCAGCGTTTCAAATTGAAGGAACACAAGTTGCTCACTGTACATGAATATGTGTTGAGAAAAAACAAATACCTTACATGGAGCTACCATTTCAGCCCGAGGTTGGTGTGGGCGCACAGCTGGGGGGTTTGTCGCAACAGTCAGGCAAGGGGTTTTTATCGGACGGGTCGCCGCGATTGATGGTCTGGAGGTCCAACAGGAGAGCGCACGGGGACCTTAGATGACGCATTTGGCATCCTAGCTCACATCTCCTCGACCGTCGGATTCGAGTCCCCGCGTGCTAGAATGGGGGTGAGTTGCTTGGACCTTGGGTTTTCCGAAATTCACTTCCCCCATGACTTTTTGCCATGGCCAATTGCTCGGGCCATGAAGGCCTCACTTGCCAACCATCCATTCCAGTCCATCCCGTGACTTCGCTTCACTCCATTGTTCGGTGAATGGATGTCTTCAAGGCATGGCTCCTGTGTCATCTCGTGTCTCCAGCCCTCAGTTTTGTCGCATAGAATAGCGTGACACAATTCGCCATGTCCAACGAGCATTATGAAAATTCGTCAACATAGCGAGTGAGTCGCGTGAGTAGCATTCTTCATTCTCTCCTCCGCAACCACCGCCATGTCGTCGTCGTCGTCGTCGTCGCGCACCTTCTGGTGCCATCAGTGTGCGACCGTCGCTTCCATAGGCTGCCCTCTCATCACGTCGGCCATGGCCGGCCCTCGCTGCCCGGCGTGCGGAGGCGGCTTCGTCGAGGAGCTTCCCGCGGCCGCGCTCGCCGGGCCCACCGCGCTCCACTCGTCGTCCGCGCGTGCCGACCTCTCGTTGGCCGATGCCTGGGCGGACATGCGCAGCGTGCTCTCTCACCGCTCCGAACGCCTGCGCGCCGAGCCGGGGTCATCGCGGTCGTCGTCGCCGGACATCGGCGGAAGCGCCGCCATTGCGCGCGAGGCCGCGTCGCCCCCTCCCTCCCCCTCCCCATCCGACGGCGGCGAGGCTTCCACTGTTCCCACCCGCGCAGGCCGCTCCCCGCGCCGACTACGCGACGCCTCTCGCCGCGTCGCCCTAGAGTCGCTCGATCCGCTCGACGACGTGCTTCCCCTGGGCTCGCAGCATCGCACGAGCGGTCGCAGGGAGTCGCCGGGCGGCGTGTTTAGCGACTACGGCGACGGCGAGGACGGCTTGGCGCGCTTCCTGCGCGACATGTGGGAGGAGTCGTCGTTCTTGGAGGTCGCCACCGCGCAGCTGCGCGCCAGAAGCGCGCCGATGAGCGACACGCGCCAGGTGCGCGTGGGGACGGAGGGAGTAGGGAGTAGGGGGAGGAGGTAGTGAGTGACATGTATGTTCCAAGATGTGGCTTGTCGCTGTGAATGTGCCGTGCTGGCGTGATGTCATCCTCCCAGCCTCGCCTCGTCCCCTCATTGTTGTCACTCGAGCTTGTGCCACCTACCCATTCTGGCGTGGCAGGTAGCGGGCAGTGACGAGGAGAGTAGCGACGACGGCGTGCCGCCACGTGTGGGTACATTGAACGCAGCGCCAGCTGCAGCGGGCGTCGTCGGTGGGTCTGGCGAGTTCTCGGGGCGAGAGGGCGACTACTTCCTGGGGGACGACCTCAGCGCACTCGTGGACCGCATTGTCACCGCGCACCCTGCGGCCCACACCAGGTGACACTCCCCACCCCACCACTCCCGGCACTCCCCGCTCCCCGCTCTCCCCACCCCCCTCCCCGCGTGTGGCACGCGTGGCGCCCTGCATTGGTGTGCCGTCAGCACCACAGGGCCCTCGCTCAGCGGCTACAGCAGCAGAGTGAAGAATTCGCAACCAAGCCAACCCTCATTTCATTCCATCGCACCCTGATACCTTTCTCCTTCCTCACTTGTTTCCCGCATTTGCCCACCCTTCCCCTTCTCCTCCACCCCCCCTTCTCCCCGCCCGTCGCTCACCCCCACCAGCACGCACACGCCAGCGTCGCGGGCAGCAGTGAGGGCACTGCCACTGCGGATTGTGCGCGAGGAGGACGTGGCGGGGGGTGTAGTGGCGTGTGCGGTGTGCCACGAGGACATGGGCGTGGGCGCCGTGACGCAGCAGCTGCCGTGCCGCCACGCGTACCACAGCGACTGCATTCTCCCCTGGCTTGCGCAGTCCAACACCTGCCCCGTCTGCCGCTTCCGCCTGCCCTCCCAGGCCGAGGCCGATGCCGCCCCTACGTGCCCCTGGCACCATGGCGCCCTGCTGGGCGCTGAGACGCGCCAGGGGGCTGGCGGTGGTAGGGGCTGGGAGGGTGAGGAGGTGGGGGACGGTGTGGGGTGGTGGGGGGGTTTGGATGGCAGCAGTGGCGGCAGCAGGGATGGGGAGGGGGAGTGGGGGTGGCATGGGATGCAGCAGGCGAGGCAGGGCGGGGGTGCAGCGTCATGGCATGCGGCATCCTCCTTCTCGTCGCTGCTGCATCAACGCATCCACACTGCTGCCCCCACGCCCTGGAGCCAACAGTATCATGCCCATGCCCATGCCCACGCCCCTTCCCATACCCATCACCATGCCCATGCCCATGCCCACGCCCCCTCCCATACCCATCACCATGCCCATGATGCATCCCACGCCCACCGCCCTGCCCGTTCGCCCTCCACGGGCCTCGGGCCCTCGGGTGCTGCCTCCTCTGACTGCTGGCCTGCCCCCTCCGCTGCCTCTTGGCGCGCGTCTGCCTCCTCTGCTCGCCCCTCGCCTCGCGCCACACACATGCCACTGCATGGCGCGGCGCAGGGCGGCGTTGGGGACAGGGGCGTGCGGCAGGGGGGCATCGAGGCAGCGAGGCGTGGCAGCGAGGCAGTGAGGCGGGCGGTGGGGTCGTCGTGGGAGGCATATTTGATGCGGCAGCGTGCCAGGCAGCTGGGGGGGGAGAGACTGGCAGGGGCAGCCAGGCAGCAAGTGGGGGGAGGAGGCAGGCAGGGGAGCGGTGCAAGGGAGGGGATGCGGGGTGGTGCTGTGCAGGGGCGGGGGGAGGGCATGGGAGGAGGAGGAAGTGAGGCAGGGCCGTCGGTGGGAGGGGCTGGGGTGAGTGAGAGGCTTCCTGCTGCTGCTGCTGCTGCAGCGTCTGATGGGCTGGCAGTGTGGCGCCATGACCTGATTGGTGCAGCGAGAGGCACTGTGTTTGCTGACAGGGGGGAGAGGGAGAGGAGGTGGGGAGGTGGGGCAGTGGCGGTGAGGGGAAGGGTGCAAAGGGAGGCCACAGGGGGCAGCGTGGGTGCGAGTGGCAGTGGCAGCGGCAGCGGCGGTACGAGCTCAGATGAGAGTTGCGATCTCAGCGAGGGTAGCCCCTCGTCCCCCCCGCTCACTCCCTCCTCTCTGGCGCCTGTGCTTGGCAGCAGCGCACATGGGTCCCCGGAGGGTGGTGTGGGGTGCACAGAAGCAAGGAGGGAGAAGCGGAGAGCGAGGAAGATGCAAGGGAGGGAAGTGGAGGGTGCAGGGAGGAGGCAGGGGGGCGGCATTGAGTGGACACCGCCCTCCCGTTCCTCCACTTCCCCCTCGCTCTCCCCCTCCTCGACCCTCTCCCCCTCCCCCTAACTGCTGCCTCACCCCAGGACAGGCGTGTGCAGTGCATGTGGAACTGCTGTGCCTAGAGTGACGAGCATTGCATGCACCTGTGCCCAGCATTCAGTGTGTTGCAAGTCAGTGTCATGCTGTGTGGCCATTCACAAAATCTAACTTGCGCCTTTCGGAATTGCGGCGACGCACATGCTAGTTGGTGTAAGCACACAAGCCTAGAGCTCCCTGCCCTGCTCTCATCCCAGGCCGTCATTGCCTATTCACCTCAAGTGCACAGTTAAGAGGTGTGCAGAGCAGTGCAGGAAAGTTTGAAATAAGCAATCTCATCTGTGATCTGTTGCTGCCTTGCCTGAGAAGCACATGCCATGTTGTGAAACACACTAAGGGTACGTTCCTGTGGAGACACTTGTGTCTCAATCCCCTCTTTTCCGAGTCGCGTCTACACATTTTTGCAATCTCGCGTCACAAAAAATGAGTGTATCACGAAACTGTGCGACCAGGCGAAATTTACAGCTGTGCTCATTTGATTGGATTTCAAACTTGACTGAACACCTGCTTCTTCAACTGTCTGGTTCGGGTGGGGTTTTGACGAGCGGAACTTTTTCCCGCGCGAGATTTTTACTGTGGAATGTCCATGTGCATTGACATTTCGAACCGCGTACAGAGTTGTTGACAATGACGGGTCGATACGCAACTCGTCCGCGACATCAGCGCGTTTCACGCTGACAAATGAAAAATACATTAAAAGTCGCACAAGGGCGACACGCGTTTGTGACATTGTACGTTATAAGCTGGTTTTACGCGTCACAAAAGGATTGAGACACAAGTGTCTCCACAGGAACGTACCCTAATGTGGACACTGCACACAACAAAGGAGCTGCACTTGGTGAAGCCCTACGTACCTACCGTATGTCCGCTACTCTACTACAATAACTTATGAACCTATCTGTGCCTCCAACCAACTGCATACAGTATTGCCTAGCACGTGCAAATGAACCATGTGTGGAACAGCAAGGCAACACGTGCATGTTGTACCGAACGTCCCTTTCTGGCAGCACAAGGGGCATGCTCCTGCCGCTCCTCACAGGCAGCAGCGGAGCGGGCGGGGAGCACTAGTTGGGCAGGACGGGGGGGATGAGGTAGCGGAAGCGGTAGTCAAAGGGCGCCACGACGACACACTTGGAGGCGGAGACGTTGGCAGCGCCGGTGGGCAGGCAGTTCATGAGCACGACGGCCTGGTTGGTGGGCAGCACGTTCGCCAGCCACTCCAGCAGACTCCACACGTCCGGTGCAAAGTCCGGTAGGTACCTGGCGTTGGGAGAGAAGGCGGACACGAGAACGAGGGAGGGAGGGAAGGAGGGAGGAGGCAGGTTATGGGGTAATGGAATGTGTTGGCATGTTGGATAGAGTAGATTGGTGGCACAGGAATGAGGGGAACAATCTGGTGAGAGAGTAAGAGAGTCACCAGTGCAGCAGCTTGGGGATGATGATCTCACCAGTGCAGCAGCTTGGGGATGATGATCTCACCAGTGCAGCAGCTTGGGGATGATGATCTCACCAGCGCAGCAGCTTGGGGATGATGATCTCACCAGTGCAGCAGCTTGGGGATGATGATCTCACCAGTGCAGCAGCTTGGGGATGATGATCTCACCAGTGCAGCAGCTTGGGGATGATGATCTCACCAGTGCAGCAGCTTGGGGATGATGATCTCACCAGTGCAGCAGCTTGGGGATGATGATCTCACCAGTGCAGCAGTTTGGGGATGATGATCTTATTGGCCTCGTTGACGCTCACTGCCGCCCCCAGGTACTCCACCATGGCGCCGCGCAGCTGCTGCTGCACACTCTCCGCCCGGTACACTCGCATCTGAGGGGGAAGGGAGAAGGCGTGGCGGTGGGAGTGGGAGAGTAGGAGGGGGAGTGTGTGAGGTGGACGGTGGGGGGGGGCAGGGATGGCATGTGGGCCGGGCAAACGGAGGTGGAGGCAGCAAGAGTCTGGATGCCAGCGGCAGAGCAGCGAGAGAGAAAGGGAGAGCAGCGGGGAGGAGCGGAATGGGGCACTGACGGAGGGCGAGGAGCGAGTGCCGGAGCAGAGGGCGAAGGACACGAGGGGCTCGGCGCGTGACAGCACACAGAGCGAGCGCGCATCGTCGGGGCGGAACGTGGTGCTGGGCAGGGCGCGGATCTGATGGGGGCGGGCAGGGGAGATGGTCCGGGGGAGCAGGGGGGGTGAGGGGTGATGCGAGCAGGTGGGGGTGGAAGGACGATAATGTGGAGGCTGACGCACGAGGACGTGCGATGGACGCTTCACTACTCGAGCAGTCAAAGGAGAAGGATGGCTGAGATATGCTTGATTACATGGCACGGTGAGAGCAGATGGGTGATTGGGACTGACAATGTAGGGCTTGTGGGTGGCGGCTCTGAGCACGGCGTGCTCGATGAGCAGCACACTGTACAGCTGGCCGCCTATCAGGAAGCCCACCTGCCATGGCGTGGTGGCATGGGCATGGGTGGCATGGCATGGTGGCATGGGCATGGGTGGCGTGGCATGGTGGCATGGGCATGGGTGGCGTGGCATGGTGGCATGGGCATGGGTGGCATGGCATGGTGGCACAAGAGAGAGTAGTGAGACGCACAATGGGGATAGGCCAGCATCCGTACACTGTCAAGCCCTTTGCTCCCACCATCACACACCACCACTCCCTCAACCCTACTACCACTCCCCCGCTTTCGCTCCCACCATTTATCGTACGAATCGACATGCCATGCGTGTGTGTGTGTGTGTGTGTGTGTGTGTGTGTGTGTGTGTGTGTGTGTGTGTGTGTGTGTGTGTGTGTGTGTGCAGAGGGAGCGGCATGGCACGGACCTTGCTGAAGAGAGCGATGCGGTCAGCAAAGTCAGTGGGCACGGGGATGACGATGTAGATCTGCACGCACACACACCACGCGGCACACACACAGAAAACAGTGAGGAGGGGAAGGGGAGGGGAGGGGGAGAGGGGCGGCTGGGGCCAGATTGGAGAAAGTGGAAAAACCTGGAGAAACGTAGACGAGCAATCCTGGCTGTTTTGGCGCTTTCACTTGGTCCCTCACGGCCTCTTGCTGGCAGGCTTGTAGCGGACTGAAAGGCACAGACAGAGCCGCAGCAGCAGAAGCATGATGCAGGAGAAGGAATGACATAGAGCGGCAGCGCGCAGCACTCACGTAGAGCAGCATGGCGTTGTAGATGTTGATCCAGAACGCCAGGCGCTCGTTGTGCGCCAGCACTGATGGGTCCACCTCCTCCAGCTGCGCTGCCATGGCTCTGAAGGGGGGAAATGGGGGGGCGAAGCAGGGTGGCACACAGGCAGGCAGGCATAAGAGAGGCGGGGAGAAGGAGAGAGAGGGAGACCCCCTCTCAGCTGCTGCCCCACAAAGCTCCTTCCCATCCGTGCTCCCTCTCTCACCGGAAGTGCAGGAGGCGAGTGGCGTCAGCATGGGTCATGGTGGCCTCGGAGGGCGGGTGCTGCACGGCCAGCATCTGAATGTAGTTGCCCGCGTCGGGGCACGGGTGCTCGCCAAACACCCCATACGGGTCCAGCTGCGCGCTGCTCAGCGCACTCCACTCCGTCGGCGCTGGCACCTCTCCACTCGTTCCGAAAAACTTCTCAAAGTCGTCTGCTCCCAACTCGCCCTTCTCTGCAGCAGCTGCTGTGGCTGCTGCTGCTGCTGCTCCTGCTGCTGCTGCTGCGCTGCCTGCTGTGTCCTTGCCCCCTTGCTTCCCCTTCCCTCCTTTCTCCTTCTCCTTCTCCTTACCCCCCTTCGCCCCTGCCCCAGCCCCCGGAGCGCCAGCAGCAGGGGGAGTGGCAGCGGGGGCGGAGGGAGCAGGGGGGGGCAGCACGCGGGCGACAGCAGTGACCACGCGGGTGGACGTTGTTCTCCCCAGCCGCAGAGCGCCTGCTGCAGCGCTGCCACTGCTGGGCGTGCTGGGGTTCGGAAACTCCCCGTGTCCACCGCCCCCCCTCCTCCCACTGCTGTACGGCGATGCCACATCGCCGCCTCTCCCCTGCTGCTGTGCGCCCGCGCCCCACCCACTGCCCCCCCCGGACGAGCGGTGGTGGCAGTGGCGGTGGCGCAGCCAGAGCGTGGTGGGCGTGCGCGGGCGCAGGCGCGGGCGCAGCGGCGAGGCGGAGGGCGGGCCAAGGAGGTCGAGCTCGGAGGCGCGGAGGTGGCGCAGGTCCACGTCCGTGTCGTCGTCGCCCACCTCCTCCCACTCTGACACCTCCGTCAACGTCGCCTCCTCCATGCTCCCTCCCCCACCCCTCCGCCTCCCCCGCCTCGCCTGCCACTGCCCCCCCCGCCCCTCCCCGTCGTCCCACCCATGCCGCGCGCCTCTCAGCCCCGACGGGCTCTCCCCGTCCGTGCTGCTCACGCCGTCCTCCCACGGCCCGCCGCCCACCGCCACGCCGCCATACGCCTGCGGGTACGGCCGCCCTGCCGCGTCCTCGTCGCTGCCGTACCCCTCCCCGCCCCCCTTTGCTGCGCGCTTGTGGCGGCGGGGGGAGGAGCGCGGGGAGTGCGAGGCATGGGAGGAGGGGTTGGCGGCGCTGCGGCTGCGGAAGAAGGTGCGGCGGCGCGAGGGGGGGTGGTGGGGGGGGCGGGGCAGGGGCGGGTCAGGGAAGGAAAGGGGCTGGGTGGAGGGGCCGAAGGTGGCGGAGCGAGGCGTGGTGGCAAAGCGGTCGGGCGATGTGACGGCGCCAAAGGCATGGCGGCGGTAGATCTCTGTTGGGGGAGGGGGTCCCATGGATGATGCGTGAGGCGAGCCGTGAACGATGTGAGGAACAAATAAGTTGAGAGCGGCAGGACGCATCATGGTAGAAAACATAGAGCAAGCAGTTGAAACCGTAGAACATGAACGAGACGAAGCAGAGCAAGCAGTTGAAACATGAACGAGATGAAGGGTGGCGACTAACGGAGGAGGCAGATGAGCATGTGCTCAGAGAGCAGGTTGGGGTGCGCCCTGAGGTCGTCCACGTCGTCGCGCGCCGTGAAGAGCTCGCACTCGGCGATCTCAAAGTCGCCCGCCTCCATGCTGCGCATGCGCCATGATGCCTGGCGCAGGGCAGCGGGGGGAGGGCGGTGAGAGGTCGGTGGGATGGCAAAGGGAGGGCAGTAAATGGCGGTGAGAGGAAGGGAGGAGGCATGGCAGAGAGAGGCAAAGCAAGGCAGTAATGAGGCCGGGAGGCGGTTTGGCAGTGACCTGGTGGAAGATGGGCGGGGGGGCAGTGAGCCGAAGCCCTGACCTGGTGGAAGATGGGCGGGGGGGCAGTGAGCCGAAGCCCTGACCTGGTGGAAGATGTGCAGGATGGGGTGTGACCTGGTGGAAGATGTGCGGGATGGGGTGTGACCTGGTGGAAGATGTGCAGGATGGTGGAGCCCTCCCCCGGCTCCACTCGGTACGCCTCTGCCGGCCCCACCGCCCGTGAGCTCGGCGTGTTGAGGCCCCCCCACCACCGCCCTGACGCCTTCTCCTTCTCCCCCTTCACCCCCGCACCCCCCCCTTTGTCTGCATCGGTGCGTGCCAGGGAGAGCGCGCGAGTGAAGCGCGCTGCCAGATCCATCGCCCCGCCTCCCCCTCCCCGCTCCCTCTCCCTCTCCCGCTCCCTCTCCCTCTCCCGCTCCCTCTCCCTCTCCCGCTCCCTCTCCCTCTCCCGCTCCCTCTCCTTCTCCCTTTCCTTCTCCCTCTCCCTCTCCTTCTCCCGCTCCCACTCCCTCTCCCGCTCCCTCTCCTGCTCTCGCTCGCGGTCGGTCTGCCGTCTGTCAGGGGCGGAGCCCCAGAAGCGCGACGACGAGGGCGTGAGTGCGCCCGTGTCCCCACCGCCCTGCATGTCCTCCTCCTCCTCTCCCGCCTCCCTCTCCGCCACCTGCCCCGCCCACCGACGAGCACAAGAGGAGCGGCAGTGAGGAGAACGGGAATGGGTACGAGGTTGAAGAACCAGGCATGCAGGCAGGCACAGTGGCAGGCGGGCAACAAGGGTGTTAATAGGAGTCAGGGCAGACAGGAAGGTGGAGGCCACAAATCACGTCGCTCCTCACAGCCACTCACTCCGGTCATGCACTCACCCCGGTCATGCGGCCATCCAGGGCGCCGCGGCTCTGGTCGATGGCGCGGCGGGAGGAGGTGGGGGTGAAGGGCGCGCACATGGGCTGGGGGGACGCCTCGTCCGACATCCCCTCCTCGCCCTCGCCCCCTCCTCCTCCCCCCACCCCCACTGCCAGTGGCTCCAGTGCCTGGCGCCGCCCCGACGCGTTGCGCGAGTGCGAGCGCCAGCGCGAGCGCGGGGAGGGCAGCGGGCCGCTGAGGCTGCACGCACTGTGGCGGGGGGAGGGCGACGGCACGTGGGGGGCTGGCTGCGCGAAGTGCGAGGCGGGCAGGGAGCGGCGCGAGGCGGAGGGGGGGCGGCCCATGGAGGGCGCTGGGCTGGCGGAGGCGGTGGAGGGGGAGGCGAGCCAGGGGGGCAGCGCGGAGGAGTGCGGCTCGGAGGTGAGTGAGGCGTCGTCAGGCATGTCGGAGAGCGAGAGGTCGTGGGGGAAGGAGGAGGCGGGATCCGGTGGCAGGGAGGAGAAGGACGCGAAGGACAGCATGGCCGCTGCTGCTGCTGGCAGCACCGTGCCCTGTGCCAATGCTTCGTTGAGCTGGGGTTGGGGTTGGGGAGGGGGAGGGAAACAGGCAGAGAGCAGCGACACGTGGTGGGACATGTGTTGTGACATGCAGCGTTATATATGGTGTGAATCCAGGCGTTCAGGGACAGGCATGCAAGCGCCCCTTGCACATGCCACTTGCCCACCCACCTGTCACTTCCCCTCCCACCTGCCCCTATCTGCCCGCCCACCTGCCAGCTGCCCGCCCACCTGCGAGTTTCCTTCTCTCAGCAGCCCCTCGTGCCGCTCCAACTGAGACAGCTGGCTCTCCAGCTGCTGTCTGCCATGGGGGCATGGCGGCATGGGGGGGCATGAAGGGTTGGGGCATTAGAGCGGGAAACACTGTACACACGAGCAAGGAGGCGTGGTTATGTGGTACAAAGGCAATCACTCGTTTCCACTCAGCAAGTACAGCTCTCACCCTTGGCAGAGTTGTGCTCACATCATGTGCTGCATCTCACATCATGTGCTGCATCTCACATCATGTGCTGCATCTCACATCATGTGCTGCATCACACATCATGTGCTGCATCTCACATCATGTGCTGCATCTCACATCATGTGCTGCATCTCACATCATGTGCTGCATCTCACATCATGTGCTGCATCTCACATCATGTGCTGCATCTCACATCATGTGCTGCAACTCACATCATGTGCTGCATCTCACATCATGTGCTGCATCTCACATCATGTGCTGCATCTCACATCATGTGCTGCATCTCACATCATGTGCTGCAGCTCACATCATGTGCTGCAACTCACATCATGTGCTGCAGCTGTGCGCGCTGCTCCTCGTGCCCTCCGCGGCGCAGCAGGGCGCGGTGCTGGCGGTCGCGGTTGATCCACACGAGGCGCTGCACGTCCATCCACCGCCGCGCCACCCTCACCTCCCCCCTCAGCCACTCCACCTCCGCCGCCTCCCTCCGCGCCTCCTCCTCCTCCTCCTGCCGCCATGCCCCCGCACACCCAGCACAACCCGTCAGGCAACACATGGGGGAGATGGGCGGGGGGCGAAGGGATGAGAGAGGGTTCCACCCACAAGCAGGAGGGTGAGGGGATGTGGGAGGGTGAGGGAGGGAAAGGAAGGAAGGAAGGGTAGCGAGCAGGTGGAAGGAAGAGATGTGGCAGCGGCATCATTCGCAAGGATCACAATGGGCTGTGGCGGATTGTGAGGGAAGTGGGGATGGGGAGGGAGGGGCAACACAAGGGCAGGCACAAGCAAGGCGGTACAGGGGAGGGGTTGGCGGGTGGGTCGAGGAAGATGCCGGCGTGCAGAAGGTGGTACTCCACCGCACTCCTCCTCGCCCTCCTGCCCTCCACCGCCTCCCTCAGCTCGCCCGTCTGTGCCTCACGCCACAGGTGGGGGGAGGGGAGGCAGGGACGATCAAGGGAAGTGAAGGGAACAGGAGGAAAATGAGGGGAAACAAAGCACATGGCCTTGGATACACCTGCATGAAAAAAGTACGACAAGGCTTTTTGCTTCTTGTATGCCACACCTTCCTCTCCCACCTCCTCTCATTATCTTTACTTTCTTTCTTGCCCAATTTCCTTGCCTCTCGCCTCACACTGCCCGACTCAAGCATCCCCTTTCCCCCAAAATAAGCCTCCCAGCCCTTTCCCCTCTCTCTCCCACCTCCGCCACCAGCCGAGCCACCACGCGGCGTTGCCGCCTCGCCAGGCGCCGTGCTGCCTGCCCTCCCTTGCCGCCCGCTCTGCCGCCCCGTGCAGCCTCCTCAGCAGCGAGGGCGGCAGCGGCCTGCTGGCGGCGCTGCTGCTCCCTCAGCCGCACCGCCCTCACCGCCTCGTCCCACGCTCGCTTCTTCTCCGCCTCCTCTGCTCGCCTCCTCTCCTCCTCCATTGCCTCTGCCTCTGTCCCCCCTCCTCCCCCCTGCCCTTCTGGGTCGTGTGGCTGCGTGTGCCACTGGTGCTGCGAGGCCCACTGTGGTTTGGTGCTCGCATTCGCCGCCATCACCGCTGCTGCCAGCACTGCGTCTGCGCGCGCCTTGCTCGCCTCTGCTGCACTCTGCTCCGCCACGCCACTCGCCCCCCCCTTGCTGCCCGCCTCCTCCCCCCCTTCCTCCGCCCTCCCTCCATGCCCTGCCTCCCCATCCGTGGCCCCCCCTTCCCGCGCCCCCTCTGCGTCCGCACTCTTCCCCGCTGCTCTGCCTGCGCCACTCTGCTGCGCCTCTCTATCCACCCTCTCCTCGCCACTTGTCCGCAGCACCATCACCCTCTCCGCCGCTGCTGCGCCCGCCCACACATCACCACCACCGCCAGCAGGGGCGAGCAGGGAGGCGGCGCGGCGACCGGCGCGGCTCTCCCTAACGCTGTCCGAGTGGCTGCGGGGGAACGCCGCTTGCGCCCACCCCACGCCCGCCCCGCCTCGCTGCACCCCACCCAGCCCCGCCACAGCAGCGCCCACGCCAGGCGGCGCTGCCCACACCTCCCCGGCGGTGTGTGTGCGGGGCACCCCTGCTGGCCCCAGTGGCAGCACCACCACGCCATCGCCTCCGGCACTCGCGTCCCCTGCCAACACATACGCGTCCCACGCCGCCGCCTCCTCTGCCCGCGCCTCCTCCTCACCCTCCGTCTCCGCCCCGCCCTTGCCCTTCCCGCCCTTGCCCGCGCGCTTCCCCCCCAGCCCGCCCTTGGCAAGGCTGCGCACCACGCGTGCGCCCCACCCCATGACGCCGTGCCACGCGGGGCGACCAGCGGCCTGCCAGGCGGAGGGGTCGGCAGCCAGCAGCGGGGAGAAGGCCGCGTCCATCGACCGCACCCGCCTCACCCGCCTCCCCCGCCCCTCCCCCCCCGCGCCCTCCGCCTCCCCCTCCGCGCCCTCCCCCTCCTCATGCTGCTCTGGCACTTGCTCTTCCCCCTCAGCCCCCCATGCGGCTTGCTCTGCCCTGCCCACCGCTGCGGAAGCGCCTGGCGCTGCAGCAGCGGGCGCTGCCCCCTCTGCTGTGGGGGCGGCTGGTGCAGAAGCAGCAGCGGGCAGCGGAGGCGCGAGCAGGCGGGGCGAGGCGATGTCGCCCGCTGCACCCACGCGGGACTCTAACCGCCCCCTCACTGCCTGCCATGCCACCTCGCCCTCAACACCACCCACCCCCCCATCTTGCCCGTCCACCCCTCCGGTCCCCTTGCCTCCACCCGCCTCCCCCTCCTTGCACCCCTCCTCCTCTTTACCAGAGCCTGGCTCCGCTGCACACTCCCCTCCCTGCATTCCCTCTCCTCCCTCTCTCGCACCCTTTTCCCCCCCATCCTTGCTGCCCCCATCGTTGTTCCGCACAGCCTCCTCCGCCACCTCCCCTTGTGTCGTCTGCTCGCTTCCGCCTGCACTCTCCATCGCCTGCGCGGGCCCTCCTCCTCCCCCTGTCACACTCCCCCCCTCACCAGAGTCTTCACCTTCCGCCCCACCCTCCGCGTCTCCCCCGTTCGCGCGCCTCTTCTCCGCTGCTGCTGGCGCTGCACTCCCTGCTGCCGCCTCTGTTGCCGCCCCTGTGCTATCTGTTGCCGCCCCTGCGCTCTCTGCTGCCTCCCCTGCGCTCTCTGCTGCCGCCCCTGGGCCGTCTGCCCGCGCGGCAGCAGTGGCGGAAGAAGCAGCGTTGCGCGGAGACGCCATGCTGCTGCCAGGGGTCCGCGCGCTTGCCCTCGCCGCCCCGCTGCTGCCATTCGAGCGGGGGGACGACGTGGCATTCCCTGCACTCCCCCTCACCGCGCGCTCGCCTTTGCGCGGTCCCGCGCCCCTCCCTTTGGCGCCCTCCGCTGGCTCCCCGTTCAAATTCGCAGCCCCCTCGCTCCTGCGCCGCCCCTCACCCCTCGCCTTCAATCCCTCTCCCGCCAATTTCTCGGCCCCTCCTCGCCCACTCGCGTCTCGCCCGCCTGTGCGCCGCCCGCTGGTGCCTTCCTTGCTGCGCCGCCCGGGCGCTTCCCTTTCGTTATTCCGCGCCTCAGCCGCGGCCGCGCCATCGCGCTCCCCCACACCCCCATCGTCCTCCATCGCGTCGCTCCCCCGTTCCCCCTCGCCTGCCCCTGCCGCCTCTATCGGCTCCTCCGGTCCCCCCTGCACGGCTTCCGCTTCTGCCCCGCTTGTTTCCGCGCGCTCGCCATTCCCCGCGCTGTCCCCCTCCATTTCCCGCTCCCTCCCTGCGTCCTATTCTCGTCGCCGCCGTCTTTTCCCCGGCCGTCTCTCCGCGCGCGCACCCTAATCCTGGGCAATGGGGAAGTGTGGGCGTTAATGATGCGTCTCAGCCGTCACTGCGCGTGCAGCCTCACGGCCCTCGCGACTCCACCTGGACCGCCACATGTGCCGCCACACAAGAGGCGCTCACATTGCCCACGCGCACGATCGCAGCACTGCCGCCAGGCACAAGGAATGTGAGTGTGGCGAGGTCAGCAATGCGACGCGCAGGAGAGTGCACAGTGGGTCGCCTGGTTATTAAAAGACTAGCATTAGGGAGCGGACACACAAAACTTTGGTACGTCACAGTCGTCCTCCGTCACTAGGCTGCGGCGCGATGGGATGGAATGCAGCGGCCGCCACGCCGGCGACGCGCCGTGCGGCACGGCAGGCGGAAGAGCGCAAGTGGCGTCAAGGCGCGACGATCTCGAAGACTCTCAGACGAATTGGTGGCATGTGCAGTGCGTGTCAACATTGGGGGTGCGCTGGTGTGAGTCCGAGTGGGTCCAGGGAGCGTTGTGATCCGCGCGGGTGGTGGTGGTGAAGGGGGCGGGTGGGTGGCAGGCGAGGGCAGGGCAGGTGGAAAGGAGATCGTTCCGCAAGGGACCGCACGACCCACTGGCCAGGCGAAAAGGGTGGCGAACGTGCCTCTCAGCTCAAAAGGGTGTCCATTTCTGCTCACGCTCGCGACCAGGGCAAACTGGTAACCCTGAGTCTACTCGCTTTCGCCCAGTCTATAAGTAAAATTGATAAGAATGCTGTTGTTCAAGCACAGCCCATACCGTACGGTACCTCCATAACAGCCGTAGACAACATATGCTTCCAGTCTCATTGTCACAGCCTAACCTACGGTAAATGCTGCTTGTATCCAAACTGGCATGCATAACCAACACCCGGTTTCCCATACACACCAACAGCCACAACCCGATTCCATTCCATGCCATCCCTCCAAAAAAGTGAGCACGGCTAGCAGCAGCGACACGGCGACAAAGGTGGCATGTCATCCACACGGCCAGGGCCCAGGAGTCACATGATGTGTGCCACTGGAACACCTTGCTCATGCTGCGGCGGCCCAAATCTGGTTGCTGTGGTGGCACTGGTGACACTCGCATTGCCAGGAAATCAAACCAACGGCGTGGAATGGTGCTGAATGGGGTAGGCAGGGGCCGAGCCTGCCCCACTCAGCATGCTCCTCTGACCCACTCCCCACGTCCAACCACACGCCACCCCACCCCACCATGCTGCCCCGCCAGCAAGTGTGTGGGCAGGCAGGCATGCGTGCAGGGCAGCAGTGACGAGGTGCGGCTTGCCCACCTGCCATACATGCACCTGCTGTCGGCCCATTGCAGCATGGCAGCAGCAGCGCTGCTGGCAGTGCAGCAGCCGCACAGGCGACGCATTCGGTGCTTTTGATGTGGCTGTGAAGGGAGGGCATGTGCAAGGGGGAGGGCAACGGGTGGGACGAACGAAGGGGAGTTGATGAGATGGGGCAAGTGAGGGCGGCACATGGCCCCTGCAACCCCAAAAAGCCTCGACCCGTCCTGAGTTTGGTCACAAAGCCCACCCACTATTCAGCACAGGAGCACAGAGGCGCACTTGGCTGGCCCAGCATAAACACTACAGCCCACCGATTGTGTTGAGTTGTGCTGAAGGAGGGTGGAGTGGGTCAGGGCCCCCAGGGGTGGTGCGCGTGCTGCATCCAGTGCCACGAGTTGGGTGCCGCTGCTGCCTGCGGGGGCTGCAGAGACGCCTGCGCTGCTGCTGCCTGCTGCTGCGGAGTGGCAGCAGCAGCGTGCATGGCTGGCATGGGCGGGGGAGCAGCGCCTGTGTGTGCACTGCTGCCGGCTGGTGGTGGTGCTGAGGGCGCAGAGAAGGCGGAGGAGGCCATCACCTGATCCACTGCACCCATGCCCCTCTGCACCCCGCCCCCATACTGCTGCCCCTCATAGCCCGGGTGCTGCTGCGCATGCAGGTGCGGGAAAGGCAGCTGCCCGGCAGCAACGGGTGCAGCAGAGGGGCCGGCGAAGAAGGAGTTGGGCGCCGCAGCTGCGGGTGGAGGGGTGTGGGTGAGGGATGTGGGCCACACCGCTCCCGCCCCACTCACTTGCGAATAGCCACTCTGGTACTGGCCGCCTCGCACTGCCGATGGCGGCGCATGAGGGTGCAGTGCGAGTTGGTGCGCCTTGGCCAGCAGCGCACTCAGCTCGTGCTCACTCAACCCCGCGCCCAGCAGCGCCGTCAGGGCAGCAGAGCCACCAGCAGGCGCAGTGGCATCAGCAGAAGGAGCAGGGGCAGGTGGGGCGGTGGCAGCAGCATGGAGAGGTGCAGCACCCCACAGCCCAGGCAGGTCAGCAGCCGGGTGGCTGGGCTGGCCTGCTGCTGCCTCCATGTACCCATGCGTAGGCGCATGGCCATGGCCGTGGGTGTGCGCCAGGCGGTGGCGGTCCTGCCCGATCACTCCTGCTCCCGATGGCACGCGACGCAGACTGCCGTCCGCGGCAGCAGTGGTGGCAGGGGAAGCAGGCAGAGGGTGCAGGTTGGGCGAGGGTGCAGTGTGCATGGCAGGAGAGGAGGAGCGTGGGGAGGGCGAGGAGGATGGTGGCAGGGAGGACAAGTGCGGTGCGGCGGCGCCACTGAGCCCTGCCAGGAAGTCGCCACCCAACCCCTCACCTCCTGCTGCCAGCAGTCCGTGTGACACCTGCCATGCACCCCCCTCCACACCTGCCCTGCCCCCACCCCCTGCTGCCTGCACCCCTGCCGCTGGTTTATCGACCGAATCAGTTGCCCTGGGAGCAGTGGCGTGCAGCACAGCCGGCACAGCAGCAGCAGCAGCACCGGAGGCCCAGGGCTGGAACACAATCATCTCCTCCTCCTCCTCCTCGTGCTCCTCCACCCCACCGTTACCAGCAGCGCCAGGCAGCACCCCATTGTGGCGCTCGGAGTGAGCGGCGTGGGTGTGTGCGCTGAGCTCGCGCATGTGCTGCTCGCTCTGCTCCGCTGAGCTGTCCATCCCTATCAGCTCCTCCACCGCCCACAGCGGCACCTCCTCCCCATCCCCCTCCCCTTCCTCCTCGCCCTGCCCGTCGCCCCCTGCCTCCACCCCTGCCATCCCCCCCGCAAGCCCCTGCCCCGCGCTTCCCATGGTTGCAGCACCCCACGGCAGCGGCGCAGCAGGCACGTGGTGGTTGAACGCGGGTGCAGGGCGAGCAGGGGTGGCGGAGGCAGTGGCGAGTGACCCTGGTGCCGCCGTGTGTGCACTGCCCGCGCTGGTGCCATGCACCACGTGCGTGGGATGTGCTGCACTGGCAGCAGGCGGTGAGGGCAGCTGATCCGCCACGAGTGATGCAATGAAGAACCTCCCATGCCGCCTGCTGAAGTGCAACACACTGCCGCTGCTGCCGTCCCCTGGCGCCCATGCTGCCCCACCTGCACCGCCTTGCACCCATCCCGACAAAGTCAAAGCAGCGCACACAGCCCTCCTGCCCCGCGCCCACACTGCCTCCTGCCCCTCCGCACCCCCCGTGCCGCCCTGCCAGCCGTCCACGTCCAGCTGCCCGTCCCTCTGCGCGTCATTAGGCCCATCACTACACACATGCGGCAGCGGTTCAAAGCCCCGCAGCTCCACGTCCTCCCACAGCCCCACTGCCCCGCCGCTGCTCTCCCCCTGCCCGCCCGCCAGGCCCTGCACGCCCCCCTGGTGCGCCGCCAGCAGCGGGGGCAGCAGGCGGCTGTGCTCCTGCAGCAGGCGGTTGAGCACCACCACGGCCTGCCCCCACATGAACATGCGCGCCGCGCTCTCCCTGTCCTCGCCCCCCCCGCCTCCGCCCTCGCCCGCGTGTCCCCCCGGCCCCGACGCCTCATCGTTGGTGCGCGCGGCGAGGTGGGGGTGGGCGGCGAGCCACTGCAGGAAGACGGTGGCGGCGGGGAAGAGCGGCGAGGCGAGCGGCGCGGGGGAGGCGGCGCAGCGCGAGAGCAGGCGGCCGACGAACTCAAAGGCGAGCGTGACGGCGTGGCGCAGGCGGTCCGCCTGCTGCTGCAGCTGCGCGCTGGACGGCGCGCTCGTGCTGCGCGTGTCATCGGCGTCGCTGGCGGGGCGGGGGGCGAAGGGGAAGGCGTGGTGCGGGGCGAGCATGGCGTGCACGGTGCACACGAGGCACGCCACCATCTGCACCACCACTGTGGCCTCCGCGCCCGCGGCAGGGAGAGTGGGGCACGCGGACGACCCCACCGCCAGCACGGGTTGCAGGGCGTGTGGCGGCGCAGCGAGCAGGCGCTCCAAGTCGTTCATGGCCGCCAGATACACGGCGCCGAACGACTCCAGGCTGCACTCACACACCACGCACAAGAGGAAACAGACGCACACACACACACGATGCGAGGAACGTGAAAGGTTAGGCCTGAGGGCAGTGCGGGAGGCGATGCAAGCAGATTGAGGTTTGAGAGGGAGAGGGAGAGGAGAGGGTGTGGACCTGGCGTGCGTGAAGAGGATGCCATTAAGGCGCACGAATCGCGAGCACAGATTCCTCCACGTCACCGCCAGTGCCTCAGCGGGCGCTCCTTGCGCTCCTTGCGCTCCTTGTGCCTGCCCCGTTGCCTCCTGCGCCGCCCCTTGTGCTGCTTGAGGCCCCGCCGCACCCAGGCGATTGCAGCGATTGGCGTTCTGCACGACCAAGAGACAGGGGAGAATGGAATCAGTTGGTGTCATAACCTGCTTGCGATCAACTCCCTCGTCCCATACAGCGCCACCCTTCGCCCCGCTCACATCACTCCCACAATCCGCTGCGCACACACAGACTCAACGTGTGCGCACAAACGCGAGAAGCACACGTGGCACGTCCTTGGTCAATGGAGGCGGGGGGCGAACGGCCTGGTGGCGCAGCGGCAGCCGGGCAAGGCAAGGCGAGGCGGGGAGGAGCGCTGACCAGGTCGAAGAGGACGAGCAGGTTGGTGCG